CGCCCAGCCATCGGCTCGTCGTGCAAAGCTTCCAGAATCCCTGCACCCAAACATGAAAGTATAACAGGAAAGTGGCAGGAAGTTTTTTTTAGGGACGAAGCTCCTTATAGCGGCACCCGTTCGTCCCCCGTAGTTTGTAACAAGTATAACATTTTGACCTCCAAGGTGTTGCCGGTGAGAGACTTTTTCTGTGCGTTGTTGAACAATAAAAAATAGTGCTCAATGTACATGTCAATGGCTGCTAGTGGGGAATGAGAGACAGGAGCATTCGGCTTTTAGTTAACGCGCCGGCTGCGATTACCATTAGCAGCCATTGGCATGTACATTGAGCACTATCTGACTGAAAAGGTTTGCTACGTCATACTCGCTGGGCGTATCCTCCTTGGTTTTCGAAAGGTTTAGCGAGCGTTCGGCCGCAGTGCCATGAATACAGTGAACTAGTATATACCATGAACTCGAAGTGGTTAAAGGTGGGAAGTGGACCCGAAGCGCAAGCCGTAAGAAAGTGTGCGTGTGCCACCTGTCGTTTAGTCCTTGGAATGTCCGCTGGATGGCGGTGCTTCTATATGGGGAATATATGATGAAAAGATGCGAGATGGTGGTACTTGGAGTGTTGAATAGATGGACGAACGGACACATAGACAGATGCATGGATGGACGCATGAACGAACGCAGGGGCGGCTGCATAGACGAACGCAGGGACGGACGCACGAAGAGACGCACACACGGACGGGCTGATGGATGCATGGGCGGTCACACTGACGGACGCATGGACGGACGGAAGCAAGAACGAATAGACGGACGAATTCTTCGCCCCACTCTCCATCATTCACTCCGTGGATATGCTGCTATTTTTTGTTTTTAGAGATGGCATTTTGAAAAAAAAATCATGACCCTCCTTGCTGGTATACCTTCGGAACAACATCGTTCTTACCTTCTAGTATTTATACAAAGCGCCAGAGTTCAGGGTCAGCTCACTCTCGCTCAGGGAAGCCGTCGACGGGGTAGCACAGCACCCTCCAACTGTTGTGAAGAGGTTTAGGGGTTGAACGACGACACGCTTATCAGTGATGACGCAGCATAAGGCACAGTCCAGCGAGATTGCAGCGATCAGAAGCAGGAGCCGAGTGACCCGATCGTTGGCGACGCTGCTGGGTGAAGGCGCATCTTCATCTTCAAATACCTTTTACTTCATTCATAGCGCGGGTCTCGTTCTCGCAGACGTGATGGTGTCAGGTAGTATGCGAGAGACTATTAATCAACATCCAGCTTGTAATAAGATCACGTGCTACGTGGTGCCACTGCAGGCAGAAAAAAAGTCTCTCACACTCGCCATAATGGCTACTGACTGCAATGACTGACGCTCGCACGTTTAAATGCGCATATCTTCCCTCTCAAGTGGATAGAGGGATGAGCGGCGCCGTAGCTCATTGGGGGAGTGTCAGACGCATTTATTGACCCCGCGTGTTGTCTTTTAATCCGCATTTTTCTTTCCCAGTCACATTACAAATACTTCAAATATTATGAAACCCGCTTGGTTTTTTTGGCTTCATTGTCTGTTAGTCTTCTTTGTTATAGTATCTAACAAAAAAGGACCCGCAAATTTACTTTCCTTCGACCTGTTCAAGAAATACAGTGACACGGCTCCTGCGAAGAAAGAGGTACGTGCGTCCACAGCTGTACTGCATTTCCTCTGTTCGTTCGCTAAAACACCGGTGCATGCGGTGTCAACGTGGTACACTGCTTGCTTTTAGTAATACAAGTGAGCCTTAGCTAAGGTTCTGGCACACCTCGAAAATGCACGTTGTTGAGGGTCATTGCACTAAAGAAAAGTACCATGCCCCTTTAGTTTTATAAGGTGCTCAGATGGAAATTGCAACGTGTCTATGGTGGATAAACTACAATCACGTGTATACCTGCAACGCCAACAATTTTTAACACGAACGTCTTCTATGCCGGGGTCCTCGATGGCTCTGCTTACGCATTTTCGTCTCGGATATGAAATTGTATATTATATAAAAACGGACCGCAAAAAAAAAGTGAGAAGGTAAGATTCCGACCCATCAACCTCTCGATTCGCATCACGCGGTGCTAACTACTATGCCTCGAAGCGTAAATTGGCGAACATGCTAACGGGAAGCCATTTATCGACACCATACCACGTTTGGTGGTCCTGAGAGCTCTGAAACCTAGTCTGTTTTCATTATTAGTAGCGAGATGACGCGACGGGCTTCCATTGGACGCGCTCTAGACGTCGTAGCCTCTACGGAGTACCGCCTCCACGGAGCGTGGTCTCTCCTGCACACGTGCTTATCAGACTCGTAGTTCTGGAGAAGAAGAAGGCCAATTCGCTTGCTGCAACGACCACGTTTACAAAACGAGCACACTGCTGACACACGACAAAGTACTAATTGTGACAGTCGTTCCCGCTTGTCCTGTGTATACCTGTGCGCTCTTTTAGTGCATTTTTCGTTGTTTGAACAATGCGCTTTAAGTGTCGAGCTCTGACAGTTTTTAGCCCGTGCTCATTCTGCGCAGGCTAATTTTGTGCCTTCTTTTTGATTGAGGTGTGCGCTGCAGGTTTAGAGCTTCTTGTCGTTCATCGCGTGACACTTCAATTTGTTGCTTTCACTGAATTGATGTACAGTAAACGCTCAACTACCTCTGGGACGACACGTTTCACTTTGGTGTTATACTGATTCATAGATATAGAGATCAGGCAAATTTTTTTTAACTAAGCCGGGAGTCGTGATCAGTGGGACTTATTGTCCTACAGTTGTTCACTTAGTGAACAACGAACTAAACACTTCCATGCTATTGAGGCGTCACGGCGTTTCTTACTTTATAGATGTCGAGCTGCTACATTACACAAAAAATGTGACAATGAAATACTTGCGTCATGCGGATGTTAAAGTTTCTACTTACTAAAAAGAAGTTTTCAAGCAGATTTTCTTGCAGTGATTCCTGAACTTCCCAAGATATCGAAGCTTCGCAAGAATGAGTCGTTACCAGGGATAAAACTCGTGTTTACGAAAATGACATCGAGTTTGTTTTGAAAACAGGAGAGGGCAAGAATCAGTTAAGGTAAGTTAATGTGACAGACAGAGCGAAAACAAAAAATTTTCTTTGTCGACTATAAACACCCGAACATCCCGGATATGTCAGTGATAGAACTTGCCGACCGATCATTTATTATTTATTTCTTTACAGCTACAGCTATATATCGCAAGGTGAAACAAAAAGCCGTTCGCCACGAAAAACGCGAAAAGGTCTCCATGGCTGCTTCGTCAGTTACGTCATTTTTTAAGTCACACCCAAGCGTGCATGCCATTAGGAGTGCCACCAGCAACGTCGTGCACCTCTCCGCCGTCATGCCACCTAGCCTGCAGTTTCAACCAAGTGCCTTTGAAAGAGAGAAAAAAGAACAAAGTGCAGCGCCCTCTCTTGGTGGAGGTCACCTCAATAGAGCTGCACAGAGATGAGGAATGGGAGAGAAAAACTTATGAAAGAAGGGAAAGACAGATTGTGGAATAGGAGGTGATTCGGCTCCACCCTAACTGCGCGTGTGTTTCACCTCTCAGTCAAGAAAAACTGTCAAGAAGATCAACAGGCAAAAGAGGGATGTGAACAAACATCACGTGACTGACTCATGGGCACATTAATAGTTCAGCATCGCGGGGAGGTTCCACCAGGGTTCGACATAACTTCCGCATAGAAAGAGAATGGATCGTACAAACAGCCGAACAACAGACAAATCTCGAATGACCGCGCGTTCTAATGAAGTTACTTCTGAGATGGCGCTGTGAGCTGGTACTCCTTTTTTATTCTACCCTCGTTTTGGTACTGCCCATTTTAAGATGCACAACTCATGTTTTCATGGAACAATGCCGCTCTTGTTTGCAGTGAGGGATGTGTATACTGCTTTGTGAAATGCTATCGCCAAAGCGACTAAGAAAAAGCAAAGTCGCAAACCATCAGCCGATCAGCCTCTAAAATAACTCGGAGGTGTGCGTGCGCTTCACGTTTGTGGTTTCTGTACGTCTGAAGATCATCCATTTAGGTATTAGCACCAAGTTTCTTAGAGAGGGAGAGATAAATATTTAATAAGAAATATTCTATAAGAAGTATTTGGTAACCCTCTCATATCTGCACTCACTTGGAAGCTTCAAAACAAACCTTTGTGAACATGCTCAAAGCTCTCATAGCTAATACCAGAGTAGTTCGCTACAATGCATGTCTCGAGTAGCAAGAATTTCTAAAAATATAACAAATGAGTGATACTAAGGCAGTGTTTATGTTTTTCAACAACGCTTCTACTTGATCCACACTGACACGAGTGCCATGAAGAGTATTGCTTTAGCGCACCTGCTCTGGCAATGTTCGGCGTTACACAATGCCTTGTTTAATAAACAAGAGGACTAGAAGAAAGCCCTCAAAAGCGGCGATCTACAATGAACAACCATGGACTTTCCAAAGGGACCATGAGCGTGCGGAGGACCCTGGTCTTCCGGCACCAACGTGGGTGTGGCCCCACAATTACGTCTTTGTAGTTCCGTAGGACCCGAAGAATGTTTGTCGACTGACTGACTAACTGACTGACTGACTCTCTGACGGACTGATTTGTTGGATTGCAAAAAATACCCTTAGAAACACTACCAATAGCTAGGCTAAGATAATGTTTTCAGTAAACGTATCACTGACGTGTCAGTGATTTTCCCATCATCACTGACACGTGTCTGCAGCTTTGTCCCAGTAATATATTCGACAGCTAGGAGAGGAAGTTTATCTTATTATTGGTACTTGCCTCTCTCCGGAGGAGACAATGCATGGGAAAATACAAGATTGTAGCGCATCACCGAGGTCGACAAAAAACAGGTGCTGTCGCAGACAGAACAGGCCAGCAAGTTGTTATCTATAGTTATCGTATCTATGAACGGGAACAATAATGGACACGAGTGCGGAAAACCCGGATGGGTCCGCTACCTTATATATAGCTGCCGCCTTATCATCGCAAGAACAGACGTTTCTGCAGTCATAAAAGGTGAGAGTTCAAATTTATTTTATGTCGATGTGGGGCGCAGTAAGCTTCAAGAACACGTATCCAGCAATCAGCCAAAAACGTTCGGAGACACTGCCGTCATATTCAACGAAGTTACATTCATGTAGCTGAATTGCTTTCGAGTTCTTAAATGACTAAGCTAGAGATTTTAGACTTCAATTGAATGAGACTCGCAAAGATAATCCTCGCAAAACTGATGACTGAGTTGACATCACGAATTTTAAGGAGAAAAGCTCTACACGTGGTGCAATAAAAAATTATCTAAGAACCCCAAATCACAAAAAACGCCCACGCTTGTGTTTCTTGGCTTAATATTTATGTTGTTGTTGTTTTTCTTTAACAAGTGTAGAGCCCTTTACCAAAATAGTTATAACGCAATACTTTCTCAGCATTGAAAACGTATACAAAGCGACGTGACTGAGCTAGTGGCATTTGCACGCCATTTTGTTAGAAATATGAAAGTGTCAGGGCCCGTGTTTCCAAAGACGTTGTAAGCCAAAACTTTTCGGAGGAGAATTTCTCAGCCAATCGCGATGCAACACATATGATAAGTAAAGTCGGCTGACATATAGAAAATTGCACTTACGAAGGTGATGTTTCCTCAACACGGCCCCAGATGTCTTGGCATATTTTTGTAAGGCTTCAGCTTGCTTTAAAGCTCGAGCGAATAAAAATATTGCCTCACGCCTTGCTGCATGAGCATGAAGTTCGGCGCGGCTGAGAGAAAGCGGTGGTCTTCAACCCATTCGGTCTCGCGCAACTGTCACGTTCGACAAGCTCAATTGCTTTTATTCTTCTTAGACCATTATTATTGTTATTTTTCTGGATATATACTTGAAACATGTATGAATGCTACTTTTGATGTTACTGCTGCCACGTGAGGGCTTTAGGGCACGTTCAAACTGTATGATGCAGCTTTTGGCATGACAGACCCCCAACAATTTTGTTGGAAAATAAAAACCGTTCTGATTTTGATTCGTAGTCAACTCTACATAATGTCACACTAAACTCTTTCAAGTTTACGCTGCGAACTATTGCTTCGTTTGCGAAGAGCTAGTTAGCCAACACCAGCACATTATCAGCTAGATGTTTTACACATACCCCTTTCACCTATTTTCTGTTAACCAAGCCAAAAGTGCCGCTACCGCTTTATAATAAATTCAAGCTAATTTCAAGAAAAGCGAGAGTGATATATTCTAGTTTTCAAAATTTCTGTTTTATATGAGGAATAGCGAACGCGGAACGCATCAGCATATTAACTTGTTCCGAAATCGGCGCGGTTCTCTCACCTAAATTTTATATGGCAATCGTAGTTGCTGTAAGGTCCACAGGAATCGTTATTCTCCCCCTACTTATCACGGAACTCCTTCTCACCCTCGCCTTCCTTTCTCACTTACTTTCTGTACCATACTCTACATAGATATGCATTGCTTTACTCTCTCTCCTGTTTTTTTCCCTCATCACCATTACTTCTTTTTAGGACCTCCTTGCTAATCCTTGCTATGCAAGGCTATGTTATGCTCCTCCATCAACCCTCTTTCTTTCTCTCATCACTTTTGTTTCACTCCACCGCACTTCTCTTTTCCACCCCTGTATATACGCAACATGACTGCTATGCTAGGCTGGAGTAGGCGCAACGGTAGCAGGTGGTTGCTTGGCAACGCGAGGCGGCGCACAGCTGGGCTGTTTTCTGCGGACGCCACCCGGCCTGACCAACAGCTGAAACAGGGGCGCTGTTAAGTAGCTTACATGGACACTTCAATTTTTGCGTAGAGCCTAACATTCAGCTATGCGCAACATACGTATAGGTTTTATTACACCTGTCCTCATAATATTATCGCTTGCTTTTTAAATACACTGCATTTTCAGACGTACGGGATAGTGAGCCTCATCGTAGAAAGTGACTCCATCCTTCCGTATAGCATTTAAGCGCAGCACGTTATGAGCCCCACGAAAAATCTAAACCTGCCTGAAGACTCACGTCATTCTCCTAGAGCTATTTATTATCAACATACTCATAGCTAAAACGATGCTAATATACTCTTTGTAACGTGTTACACATATAAAGCCTCAAGTAACACAGAAGCAGCAGCTCAGCATTTATAACTTTTTACTACTTTTTTCTGCAGGCTCATTATAACAATACTACAGCCATGATGACGTCTCTGTCAACTTTGGTCTTTCTACTTAGTTGTTCTGGTGAGGAAGGTGTTTCTAAAATCCTACTTTTCACACTTTTTTTTAAGATTGCCATGACAGCTTCCAGAAGTACCGACATCTCTAACACAGGAGTAGTAAGTTTTACTTCAATAACTACTACAGCAAGAAAGTATCACGAGCACTTCTCCACCAAGCTTTTCTTTTTTTTTGTATTAGCAAATATGTCCGAATAAGGAAGTTATATAACATATTTCGGTATCTGTTGTATTTCCTAATTATTACTTGTAATATTTAGGGTGGTAGTTACCTGTAATTGTTATTATTCGACACCTTTCAAGCAATCACTTTTGCAGCTAAAGGTACAAAAACTGTGCACTTAAGTACCTATTACTTTTTTTGTAGCTTCACTTTTTCTATCATTAACAAATGACATGATCGGCCTTCCTTGATTATTATTTCTGATTTTTTTTCGAATAAGTCCGTGGGATGCGGTGTTTAAGAAGCCTTACTTATGTAAGTGGTCACTACATTCCGAAATTGTTACTTGCGTCGACCGAAAATCGTTTCAGGTGCCCTTAGCGCCCTTCCACAAGACTCGAACAACTTCATCGACACGGTGCTCAGAGACCGACTGCCCGGTGAGGTTCGCAACCGGAACCTCGACCCGGCGCAGATACCAAACTTCGATGTCAAGGTCAAAAAGACATTCGTCACGAACCGCGACTTGAAGGTGGACTTCACGTCGGGCCTCGTTCGTGGCCTGTCACAACTGAGACGTCGGGGTGACTGCGGTGCTCCCGCCTGGGAGGCCGCCAACACTACCTTTGGTTGCCACGTGTCTCTCGACGGCGTTCGAGTCTCCTACAAGGCAAAAGCCAAGGGCCACAAAGTGCTTGGCTCAACCAACTACGATGTCGACATGCTCGTCGAGAACACCAACTTTTTCGTCCAGATTACTAGCGCCCGATGTAAGTTCGAACTCAACCGTTGCCATACATTGAAAATAAGTAGAAAACGAACAAAATGGGTGATCTCCCACATGAAACAAGATAATTTTAATGAGTGGGGAAATAATCAAAATGTGTCGCTAAATATAAAATATTAGCGTTGGTGGTGGGTGCTTTGCGAAAAATGTCTAGCGGAGTTTTATTTCTCGCTCTCTCCTGAGAAGAGAGGAAATGTCGGGGGCCAGCTCTGCTAAACCTTTTCAGTGGTGGTATACGCAAATCGAACAGCAGAGGCTGTTTAGTTCAGCGTCCAAATGAACGCCGCTATCTATCTATCTATCTATCTATCCATCTATCTATCTATCTATCTATCTATCTATCTATCTATCTATCTATCTATCTATCTATCTATCTATCTATCTATCTATACGTGCACGTGCATCTTCACCTGAAACACGCTACACATGCTGCTTACTTTTCTTTTCAGCGGTTCCTGCCGTCTTGAAGACATTGAGCTTAAATTCCTTGGAGCTTAAAATAAGCGACAGCACCAAGCTGGGCCTCAACAACGAGCGGAACAAAAAGTACCACGAGGCGATCAGGTCCCGCATCCAAGATCTACTGTCTTCACTACTGTACGGAAGTTTCCGGGAGGCGCTGAACCAAGCTGTCAGAACCGGGGTGGCACCGTTTCCTTGATTTTCGTCGACCCACACGACGCGGCAATCACAATTTCACCCATCCTGAACAATTGCCCTGCTCACGAAGGTTGTGCAATAAATAAATATTACGCTATCATTTCAATTTTGTCTAGAACCATCAGCCAACAAATAACGTCCTATCAATACACGAACGACGTCCTGTGCCTTTGTATTATGCCTCTTTCGCCCCTGATCATTAGAGGCTATTGGCCACGAGATCGAGCGGAGTCGCTGCCTGGTGGTAACTGGTTGAAACACGCAAGTGTAAATTGCTCCGTGCGTCGTCTGCCAGCCACATCGTGTTTCTATGTGCGCTTATGTTATGCTCGTTTTCAAAGGGTGGTTTCTTTCGTTACTTCAGCGCAAGTGTAACTGCTTGTACATATGCCTGAAACGACGTATGAAAGCAATTGTTTTTGCTCAGCTGCTAATGAAATGTGATAAGATTGGTGAGTGCAACCTGCCGACGAGCTGTTTTCTCGGCACCCGATCTCCTTGGTATACCCAGGAACACAACACCGACCCATGTTGCATGAAGTTGTAGTTGTTGCGACATGTGATTCGCGACATAAGTCACACCGTGCAAACACGCATTTCTTAGCTAACTTCGGCGAGTTTGACAGTATCTATCTATCTGTCTATCTATCTATCTATCTATCTATCTATCTATCTATCTATCTATCTATCTATCTATCTATCTATCTATCTATCTATCTATCTATCCACCTACGACTTTTAACTCTCCTGGTCGTTTCGATAAAGGTATCGATACCAAAATTGGTAAGACATAACATAACTGTTGGAAGAGCTTGAGTGACTAGTCATAACATGAAAATCATTATATGTATGTCATTATTGTCATAATTTACATTTTATAGTCTTGCTGTTCTTCCGGTGCTTTCGTTCACATTACATGCTGCAAAATTGGTATGGTTTGACATGACTGCATGGCGAAAACAAGTGACAGACAGTAACGCGAAAATAATGACATTCATGCCATGTAAGTCATGACTACACGCCACGCTCCTGGTGATCCCGTGGTCGTTTCTGTAGCTTCGCATATTCCAAATTTCGTATTACGTGACGTGAACGGATGACGAAGGTATGTATGGATGACGAAGGTATGTCACTGGTGCAAACATGATAATCACGAGATGCGTGTCATGTAACAACCTGACTATATGTTACGCTCATGAAGCGCTCGTGTTCGTTCCGCCGGCTTCACGTATATCGAATTTGGTATTACGTGACGTGAATGGAAGATGAAGGTATATGACCGTTGCAAGCGCGATAATCATGAGATGTGTGTCATGAAAGAGCATGACTACATGTGACGCTCATGATGCGCTTGCGGTCGTTTCACTAGCTTTATATATAGCAAATTTGGTATAATGTGACGTGACTTGATGACGAAAATATGTGACCGTTGCAAACAAGACAATCATCAGATATGTGTCATGAAAGAGCATGACTACATGTGACGCTCAATGATGCACTCGCAGTCATTTCGTCAGCTTAACATATACCAAATTTGGTGTTACGTGACGTCAATAGATGACAAAGGAATATGGCTTGTGCAAACATAAAATGGCGACATGCGTGTCAAGTAAGAACGCGACTACATGCCACGCTTATGATGCGCTCGCGGTTGTTTCGCTGGCTTACCCTGAATGCGGTATTACGTGACGTGAGTGGATGGCAAAGGCATGCGAGTGGTGCAAAAATAGTAATATGACATGCGCGTCATGTAAAACATGACTACATGCCATGCTCATGATGCGCTAGCGGCCGTTTCGCTAGCTTCACATATATACCAAATTCGGTAATACATGACGTGAATGAAGGACAAGCACAAATGTCAGGCGCGAACATAATAATCATGACATGGAAGCCATGTACGGCACAATTTACGTCCGCCTGGTAATGTCGTGCTAATTTTATTGTGACAATCAACCTTTCACATTCATGCTTCGCATATCATCAATTCCCACTGTGCATTGGATCTACCAATTTTTTTTGTCGTGCGCTTGGTATGACGTAGCACGTGGGGAACGGAGAATGGGAAGAGACCTGAAAAAATTTTAAAGGGTGCTGTAGTGCGCATGCCGTCCCCTTCTTCTCTTTCTTTTTTCCTATGCTCCCCTCTCTCACCTCGCAACGATGACGCAAGCAGCGTCTGCTAGAGAGTTTCTTGATTGAAAAAGCCGAGCAATCACGCTGCACAGCCGTTCAGAGGCCACCCCGTACATATAGGCACCGTGGCTGCTATGCAGGATAGTTCAAGCTTCACGAGCAGACGAGTTTTCTTCGATCTCGCTCTAGGGCGGCCATGGCATGAAGAGAGTGGAGAGCGCGTTATAGCAGCGCTGATAAAAGTGGCTCTAAAACCACGCACCACGACAGTAACGCATGTTGGGCATATGCGGTGGGTATCAAAGAAACACCGCGTGCATGCGTACATGTTAGCTCTGCAACCCAGTCAACATTTCAGCAGTGTGGAACCATCAGCATAATTGTCAGGCTGTTGTCGTGCTATATTTTATCCAACTCAACACGCTCCTCCCACAAGCCTGTTTTTAGGGGTGAAGCACCTTGAAGCGGCACCCGTTCGTCCCTTGTACGCTCAAGAGGAAGGTATATAACAGCTGTATCTTGCCTGTACTTGGCTACGTAGAAGAAACTTGGAGACTTACAAAGAGAGTTCAGCTTAAATTGAGGACGACGCAGCGAGCAATGGAAAGAAAAGATGGTAGGTGTAACCTTAAGAGACAAGAAGAGAGCAGAGTGGATTAGGGAACAAACAGGGGTTAAGGGTATCACCGCTGATATCAAGAAGAGGAAATGGACATGGGCCGGGCAGGTAGCGCGTAGACAGGATAACCACTGGTAATTAAGGGTAACTAATTGGATTCCCAGAGAATGGAAGCGGGTTAGGGGGAGACAGGAGGTTAGGTGGGCAGATGAGATTAAGAAGTTTGCGGGTATAAATTGGCAGCAAGCACAGGACCGGGTTAACTGGCGGAACATAGGAGAGGCCTTTCTCCTGCAGTGAACGTAGCCAGGTTGATAATGATGTAACATGTCTTACGTTTTGACCTGCAAGGTGGTGCCGATGGGAGATTTCTCCTGTGCGTTGTTGAACAATAAAAAATTCGCAGTGTGCGCGTTAACTAAAGCCAAATTCTCCTGTCTCTCATTCTCCTTTAGCAGCCATTGGCATGTACATTGAGCACTATCTGACAAGAAAGGCTTGCTACGTTTTACTCGCTGGGCGTAACCCCCTTGGTTTTAGAAAGGTTTGGCGAGCGTTGGGCCACAGTGCCATGAATACAGTGAACTAGCATATACCATGAGCTCGAGGTGGTTAAAGGTGGGAAGTAGACACGAAGTGCAAGCCGTAAGAAAGTGTGCGTGTGCCACCTCTCGTTTAGCCTTTGGAATGTCCGCTGGATGGCGGCGCTTGTATATGTGGAATATATGATGAAAAGATGCGAGATGGTGGTACTTGGAGTGTTGACTAGATGTACGAATGGACACACAGACAGATGCATTGTCGGACTCACAGATGGCTGCTTGGACGGGTGGACGCATGGACGATCGCAGATACGAACGCACGGAAGGGCGTGCGGATGCACGAAAAAACGCACACACGGACGGGCGGATAGACGCACGGACGATCACATAGATGGGTGCATGGACGGACGGAAGCAAGAACGAATGGACGGACGAATGTTTCGCCCCACTCTCAATTATTCACCCCGTGGATATGCTGCCTTTTTTTTCGTTCCGCCTGCAGCACAAAAATTTCTACTCTCGAAAGCAGCAATGGTGCACCCGCCGCACTCTCGTGCTGCCAGTTTCGCTTCTAACAAATGTTGCAGTAAATATAAGGACATGTTTTTATCAGGGGCGCTCACATCATGGTGGCAACATGGCTGAGTGGCTACGTCCTGAGCGCGGTGAAATTAAATGCGACACATAGTAGCCACGTGATGACCTAACTTTTACTTCTGTGTGCGTGTGTGCATAGTCTTCGCGATGAAGCTGATAGATGAATCGTGCCCCTGGCTGGCGTTGCGGCGTGAGCAGTGCTCCTAGGCAAGAACAAGGGGTGGGCGGACACGATCTTCGCTGCGGGCGTCTGTCGATAAGAGCGCGTTCACACTGAGCCTTCCGGCCGCCAGGATTACGCTGAATCCGATTCGGCGGCAGCGACATTCACCAAGAGGGCTCTCTCCGCACCGATTTCTCTCTTTCGGACTAATTTTCGTGGCCTCTGCTACCGAATAAGTCGCCGTAGTATAATAGGAGCACTATTCAAGGAATTTTGGAAAATGACGGCCAAGCCTTACTCAATTGTGATGTCGCAGTGCATGTGACTTAATGCTGTAACCAACGAGAGTTACCCCTAGATAACACTGAAGCATCCGCTTTTACCCCTAGTTCACACTGAAGCATCTGCTTTTTACAGCGACCGAAATTCCCCTGCCGCCTAAACGCAGCGTCGTTCGCACTGGACGCACTCTGCGCCGCCGAATATGCCATCTACCACGGGGCGAACGTGGGTTGGATTCGCTGTTACCCGATTGCTGTCGTGGCTCGTGAGTGCCACTGCACAATCCGGTGGTCTACACTTCGATGATTCTCGTACGCCGGAAGCAATAAAAAGCGGTACTGCTTACTTAATTTGCTGGTAAGTCGCTGTCTTGTAATACACTAAGAGCAGAAAAAACCGTCGACGCCAGCGGCGTATGTGGGTTTGTCTTGGTCTGCAGTATTGTGACAAACTCGGGGATGCTAACGACAAGCTTGGTAACCTCTTCCTTAAAATAAGGACGTGAATTAGGCACAGAGTGGGCTGAACTCCCGTTGGTTGCAACGTTTAGTTACGTGCACTGTGACATGACAAGTGAGTAAGGTTTGGCCGTGATTTTTCAAAATTCCTTGACTAGCGCTTCTATTGGTCCGTGGTGACCGATTAGGTGGCAGACGCCGCGAAAATCGGTCCGAGAGCAATCAGCGCGGAGAGTGTCCTTTTGACGTATGCCAGCGAATCGTATTTTGCCCACTTTCGGTGGCCGGAATGCTCACTGTGAACTTGCC